GGTCACCATGCGGATGCGTAAATTTTCCGAAATTGATATTTTTATTTTTTTCCTACTTCATTTTCCTATTCTTTGGCCCTCTATATTCCAAAATCTTGATTTTTTTTTCAAAAAGCTATCTTCAGAAATCTACAGAGTCGTGTACCTATCATCCAATCATCGACAGGCTTTTGCTGAATGCGATCCAATGCGCTGGGATTTTCACATGTGACTGTCCACGAATAGAAGTATCTTTATTCACAAAAACTCAAAATTGTACAATTGACACCAACGGCGGCGTTTTCAGCATGCACATAAACCAAAGAAGGGTTAAGGGAGAAAAAAGTTTTATGTCGTAGAAAAAGTGATTTAAACTTTTGCATAAGGTGAGGTTAGCTGCTCCCCGGAGAATATGATGCATTTTCACATATCCGGTCATTTTGTTATTGATAAAAGCTTTTCGGTAAGGATAGAATTGATTTTCATATTATAAAGCTACATAGAAGATGTGTCTTAACGTAACAGGGAAGTTTTTACGGGGACTCTACGCCGGAAAAACTCGTTAAGGGTTCACAGCGTGTCAACGCTGCTAAAGATTCGGTTGCCCAATTAAATTTTCTCTCAAATTTTAAACATTCCATCAGAATTAGGGAAAATCGGGTGCAATTTTGCGATTTTAAACCACTAATCATTATTCGAAGAGAGAACTACTTATTCATGTGCATAATATGTGGTGATCGAGATTAAGAGGCAGTATGCTTTAGCATGCCGCGCTGGTGAATAGAGACGACACACATTATCGCCTAAACTGCCGTGCTAAGGAAGAACGCCGTATGAACATTCGAGAGTTGCCAAATTTTCTTCAATAAAATGTTTATTTTTGAGGAAAGATATGAATATTATCCTTTGAAATTTTCAGGGACTTTAGGCGAAGTATTGCGGACAAAATTATCTGAAAAATTGGAAGGTAAATATTCATACGTTTGCCAGGAAATTCGTGTTTCATCAAAGGAAATTTGGCAACGCCTGAGGGTTCATGGGACGTTTTTCCCTAGCACGGCAGTATACCTGTCATAAGGACGTAGGTAACTACACTGCGTACCTAATAAGCTCTGTTGTTTATATGACTCAATTCATTCCCGGCTCATCTCATAGTACGTTGGGTGATTTCACGATAACAGGAATAGCCATGTCCCCATGGGTTATGAACAACATACGGCAAAACGATTGAAAATTGAGGTTATATATTGAAAATAATGATGAACCTAAACTTGTTCATGCAAAAAAAAAACTTGAAAAAGTATCGTCATATTTAAAAATATGAGACTTAATCGAAGACCGAAAATTTCTGGTCAGTAACGCGTCGCCAACTACAATTTTAAGGAAGAAGAGTAACTTTCGGCAATACATTCGTCACGATAATGAATTCTCCAGCAATATTTTCCGAATGGATTTTCCAATGTTCATCGAAAATTGCAATATTGAATCAAAATTTTGATTTTTAAGCGAGAAAAGTTATCCTACGAGTGTGTTGCCACATTCGGCAACATAATTTGACTGTAGCATTTAGTCCGATATTAATGATATCGCCAGATAGTGCCAGGAGTTTCAAAAATGTCTTCAGGTTGTTTGCTGATAAGTGTACTTGAGCAAACTGTTACTGGTAGTCGTATTTATTTAGGAGAAAAACTTTATTCTTTAGGAAAACCGGTGATTTGGAGGAGCGTAGCATTTATTTTTCAGTCCTCAAAATCCTTAATTTAACACAATGAAACTTCAAGACAGTCCCGAAAGTTTCAAAAACTTTTAAGACTGCGCTATAATTATACCTGATAGCTTAAGAATTACCAAGTTTCGTCTTTTCTATAATATTTTATTTTACAATTTCATTTGTCGGTTAAATCACCAATCTTTGCATCAAAACCAATATGAGATATATTGATAACCAAAGTGCGAAACCACATATCTCCATATTGCGATGTTTCAAAATTTCTGCTAATGTTTTATTTCATCGAAGAAAAACAAACCAATTTTTCAGCTTGAAATTGATACAAATTATTCTGCAAACGGGGAGAGAAAAAAATCAAGGAAATTTACAAGAAATTACGCTACTTTTTTCGAGAAAAAATTAAGTATGATGATAAGTCTGCAACGTTGCAAACGGAGCTGCGTGGTTTCGCACTTTAACTATCGATATATCGTTTCCAGAATAAGCTGTACGAATTGATTCCACTATATGCTTAACTTGGTCGAATTCATAAAGGGGTATTCATCTGAGCTGCAAATTTTTCATGAGTGAAAAGATTAAAAAATCGACCAACTCGGTGAATTGACTCCCGTGCTCTTTCCTGATCATATCTTCTTCGCAAAAATTATAAATCGAAAGGAGGCTCTTTAAATGCGATAAATTTCCCTAGGGACTTTCACGGAAACCTATTGAGAAACCGGTCCAGAATCAGAGAGAAGCAGGGAAATCCTACGTTTCCATTCTCGCTCTTGGGAGCTGAATGTCTCTGTCAAAATTATGCCAACAACCCGTTTTGGGACCACGGCTTAGCATAAATGCTTAAGATTTGAAATTAACCATTCGCAAGAGTTAGCGCTCAAATTGCTAAGATGACCCGCGGCTTCGAGAAAAAATTCTCTTGATCCAACTTTGAAGCCAGCTAGGCACAGATGGTTCTCATTTGAAAACTGAGGTATTATCGCTCCCCCAAACATAGGTCTCCGGTTTCTTTTCATATAGATACAGTCTAGATAATGCACTACGCAGTACAACAATTCGGTCCCAAAATCTTTAAAACTAGCTACGATATACGCCTCCAAATCTGGTAAAATCATTAACAGTTGGAAATAAATACGAGTAGATACGTATAATGCATAATGTGTAGTTAGCCAATCACATTTTTTCTCTTTTGTTTTATCAATTGATGAAGGGGCTGTTGAGTGTTGAGCCCCGAAACGTCTCAGGTTTTACCATATTTTTGGCATTTTTCTCAATTTCGTTTCGATAGTCGATTATCACGCCTCGCCTTTGACCACCAACGACGACGTCATAGAAATTATTCAGTCATTCTCGACGTATTCTAAATTTCTGAACTCTTTCCTTTGCTTAGATCTCACGACTCGCGTTTTCAATGCAACTGATCAAATGTACATGAGACACCACAAGTAGGTGGGCATGCGATTCTTTTTAACACGTTCGCATGTTCGCAAGTGAATGCACGCCTGAATAATTTATTATAAGACGAAACTCGCTGCTCACACGACTGGCAAGTTTCGCCCAATGAGCCGAAGTCATGCTTCTACCAAGTGAAATTATCATGCTGCTTTACCGGCCCAAATAGCACGGGGTTCTATTTTATGTCTAGCACTAATTTAAAAATTGTCTATTTTCTAGACAGAAAAATAAAAGAAAATGGAAAGAAAATAGATGTATCAAATAGAAGTACGAAAATCGCCTATTAAAAAACTTCTATTTTTTGTCTATGCTCCGGACATCAAATACAAGGAAAACAGACAATTTTGCTGTCTACATTCTGTGTTTTTTCTATCTGTTTTCTGAATGCTAAATTTCGAAGAAATAGATTAAGAAAATATCCATTTTTTCTCTATTTTCCATCAGGTTTTTGGATATTTTTTTCTTAAGGAAATAGACCTATCAATTTTCTAGACGGATAATAGATCCATTTTTTAGACTGGAAATAGACCTATTTTCTTTGGGAAACAGTGGCATTCACTTTACATTTTCTGTCTACTTTCCGTAATGCTAGCTACTTTTTCTTTATTCTCTAATTTTTTTTCATTAATTTTTTTTTCATAAAATATTTTCATTTTGCCACTTAGGGGGGGGGGGGGTGTAAGTTTGAGCTGCTTAATTCTTTCCTAGCAGGGCAGAGTAGGCAACTATTCGCGCATTACTGTCGTGAATTGCATACTCATTTTGAGGAAGGCGTTTCATGCTACGGCAGCAGTAAACAAGTTGGTCGACGGAGCACGGCGCACGACATGTCCTCCGCGGACTTGCATTAAGTATTTAGTTGATATTTTCCGAAAACTGTCACGTAAATTCGTTCTCCCTGAAAAATAATATCAATGGCTACAGTGGGAAACCACGTATCTCCATTTGTGACGTTGCAGACTTCCTGTGGGTGGTTTCACGATATGGACCGACGGAATAAACACTATTTTTAAGGAAAATTGTAGTCAATGAGCCATTGTTTACACCTGTCACAGTGAAAACAGAAGTTGAGATTTAATTGGACTACATCTTGCAATTTGGACCTATAGATTTTAGCCCGGTTTAAAAACAACGTATGTGCCATTAGTTTCCCTGTGCACATAAGTGATTTTCCAGAAGAGCCAGAATTTATAGTTCCAAATTGCAAAATGCAATCCAATTTGCAATAATAAAAAATTACTTCCAAGAAGTCCAACCTCCAGGAGCTGCCACCCTTGTAATCCAAGAGGATCGCATTACGAAATTTGATTGTCAGAATTCCGCGTTAAAAGCACTAATTTTTAATAATATCAGATGAAATGTGAGATTTTATATCACAACTTTTACAAATGAAAAGTTCATTACTGAAATTGGACACTTTTCGTAGAAGCCATTTTCTATTAGATATTTTCCATTTCTATCATTCTACTTCACCACTAGAATTAGGTCATTTTAGTCCTTTACTTCTTTATTCTTAATTTTTTTCCTCATCGTTGTTTTATAATTTTATTGATCAGGTTTGCCTCGGTTTCACGAACAGTAACGAAACGTATGAGTATCAAAAGTATAATGTGACTCATTTGCAAGTTTTGATAAATTGATGAATATATAATCGCCATTCCGCTTTGCATCTACGTTTTGCGCTCCCCTAAAAAAAGAGCGCAATTTCAAAATTGGCGCTTTAAATTCATATTTCAAGAGCGGGAACGTATGGAACTCGGCAAACGTAACGTTCCCGGTCCACCCAGTCCAGTTCTGTCCCAAACAGGGAACGATGTTTGAGGTTATGAAGTCATTTTGTTTTGTTTCTGTTTCTAAACTAAAGTAACCTGTTGAACGCAGAGACAAGTTGTACGTGAACTTTTAGGAATTTTACCGTGAGTTGTAGCTAGTTGCTAGTAAGTCAGCCGATAACTTTTTTAATGTGAACATCAACTTGAGTCGCAAAACTGTGGTGCCTTGCTTTGGTGCATCCTGCGAGTGCACGTATTCAATCATCCGTCAATCATCATTGCCCACGCGACTCTTCGGACATAATTCTGAGAAGTAGGTCGTTAATTACGTGATGGGTTTAAGCCACTGACCTAAACAAACTCGCAGTAAGTAAATTTTAGTTCTATTACAAAAATCTCTACTCGCTCTCATCTGCAGATGATTCAAATTTACGTCGATCTTTTTGTTTCGATTTTTGGCATTTTTTGGTGTCCGATACCAAAACTTATGAGCACGAATTCTGGAATTTACTTTCTCCAGACTAATGTAGTCTTATTTGTTGCAAAACTTTATCTAACAAATCATCCTGATAGAGTGAGAGAATAGATCAACAGAAAGAAAGATTCCAGACTCTTTCAGATCGCAATGAACACTGGATTACCATGAAAATGCATCCGGAAATATTTAAGAAAGATTCAGGACTCTATCACTTATTGGTCATTTTCTTTGGGAGTTGAGTTTTCCACTGCTAGAAGCGCCCTCTGTCCCTCTAGCCCCATTCCATCGGCTATGTGCAGTGTCGTCCCTGCTGCCAGCCACAACGTGCATCTGTCACATATACAACAAGATTTGCCTTTATGTTGTGCTGCTACACAGTTTGTTTCTCTGAGAAACAACGAATATTGTAATGCACAAAGTAATGTCAGAAACTGAACCATAATGTGTAACATTATCTATATGTTATGAGTAGAATGACATCAAATTAGTGAATTATTGAAAATTTATGTCTGAATCTATCGTAACGGACATTGCTCATTGACTCCATGTGGCAGAGAGAGTTAGGTATTATCGCTGTCTCTCTCTTATTAATTAAGGCAAAGGGCAACGAACATTACGGTAGTTTTCAATATAAATTTTCAATGAATCTTCACCAATTTGATGTCATTCTACTGTCTAATACTTAATGTAGCAAAATGCTATGCATCGGTTTCTTGTAACATCATGTACATTACAATAATTATTCCTTCTAAAAGACACGAATTGTGAGATAGCGCAACGTGAGGGTAGGTCTGTCCCTGGATCTTGTAGAATCACCCTAAGAAGAGTAATAGAACAAACAAGAAACAATATGGATTTAGAATACAGTCAGTCAGGGTAACTTTGTGCCATCGGGGGTAACTTTGTGCCAGGCCATTACTCCATAACTACTACCAACTGTTGAATTCTGAGGAAAGATGAGGATTAAGCTTTCTATTAATATGCCTAAGTTGGCAATCTGAAATCTGAAGAAGAAGAAGCAAACAAAGATAGTGAATTCGGAGCCTGGCACAAAGTTATCCCCGATGGCACAAAGTTACCCTGACTGACGTTAAACAACGTAATTGCCCGTTGAAATAACTAAAATCTGCATTTGCTCCACTCTTTTCATAGGCTCCATTTGCCAAGAGTGCCTTTTTGGGTGAAAAACAAGTCAAGTATTCAGGAAGAGCACACTTTTTCTCTTTTAAAATGTCGTTTTCTGAAACTCATGTTATTCGTCACAAGCCCAACTATTGAAGAACTCATTTCTTTCCTGCAAACTTTGTAGCAACTTGTCATCATCACTTTAACTGTGCCGCAGCAGTATCGAATTAAGTATATTGAAATGCTTACTTAATTATGCACTGCTGATGTACCAAAAGCTGATGATTCTAATGTTTGTTTCAGGATGACTGGAACTGAAGAATGCCTGTGCCTTATTTGAACCCTTTATAGGTGAGTGTTTTCTGTTTTTAATTGCATTTTTACCGGGCACAAGTGAGGACAACCTAGAATTTGGAGGGGGGTGAGCAGCTGAGTAAAACTCAAAAGCTTTTTGAATAAAATGAAAACTAGAAAGTTTTTTTATTTTTTTTATTTATTTATTTACTTCCTCTACTTCCTTTATTTCATATAGTTGAATCATTCATGGTTTGTAGCAACCGATGCAATAGAAATAACCAAGTAAAGTCAGGAAATTAAATGTGTTGATATTTAGATCCTTCAAAGTTAAAATATGGCAAAAAGCGTGGATTCAGTACTCATGACACTAATTTTTTTTTTTAAATTCCCCAAAACTCAGCAACGCTGATGCACAGTGCCGGCGCACAGTGGAGGTTTCTTTCTGATGTTGAACCATAGCCCTGAGAATTCGCCTGATTCAGAGCGAAATTCATTGATTTTCCAAGTTTTTTTCTAATTCCCTAACCCGTAGAACCCTGACTTTGAAAAGTCTTTGTATCATACTGCCATGCTAAGGAAGAACGCTGTATGAACATTCGAGAGTTGCCAAATTTCCTTCGATAAAATGTTAATTTTTGAGGTAAGTTATGCATATCTTTCCTAAAATTTTTCAGGAACTTTAGATAAACTCGCGAATAAGATTATCTGAAAAACTGGAGGGAAATTATTCATGGGTTTACCAGAAAATTTGTGTTACATCAAAGGAAATTTGGCAACATCTGAAGGTTCATACAGCGTTTTTCTTTAGCCTGGCAGCATAGAGGTCATACCCTATAATAGGAGCCCTATGAGGAAGTGTGCTAAGTTTTTAAACAGTGCACTACCAATTGGTACGGCTGTTGCTAACGTTTTGATGCATTTATTTTTAATGAAGTACACTCATTCTCCCTCAGTTTTCCAGGATAACCCCAATGTTGAGACAAATAGATGGAGAGCTAGTTTTGAATATATAGGCTAGACTTCGCGCATCAGCGTTGCCAAGTGTTTGGTAATTTTTTATAAATAAAAGCGATTGCCGTGCCGTGAGCACTGATTCCGCAATTTGTGCGCCTTTTCATTTCGAAAGGATCGAAGTATTAACAACAATCTGCTCTTTGTTAGATTTTTTTCTGCCTTGTCCTCTAATGTTCATGTACTTACCAGAGGAATTACACTATTGCGTTCTCCCTCATCCTCTGGTGGGACCTAAACATGGGACCATGCAAAGAGCACTGATATCGAGTCGTAGATCTTGTATATACGTGCCGTTCATTTTTTTCTGACTCAAGCATGAAATGATGGATACATTTTCAAGGTAGCATGTAAATTCCAGAGATGCAGAAAATGCCCGATCATGCGCCCGCCCGGTAGCGTGAAAATGTGGAAGGAAGGAACATTTTGAAGGGCCAAAAGTCAAATATCTAAAGATAACAATAAAACCGTCATTTTTTAGATGGGTGGGAAATTTTGTGGAAAACTGACTGTAACCATGTCCCAGAGACAAGCACTGAAAAAAAATTCTCGGCGTTTTTACCAAGGTCCGTCGGTACCTTCACCATCTCACTTTTTTTACCACTTAGTGGTAATTTTACCAAGACAGACTGATAAGCTTACCTGAAAACCGGTATTTTTACTGCTTTTTTCAGGTAAGAATACCACTTTTATTGGTAATCAATTCCCGGTAACTTTGCCATTTTATCTCGGTAATTCTACCACAGTCGATAAAAAGTATTGGCGTTTTTATCGGGGCTCAGTAAAATTACCGAGAAAGTCAGTAATTTTACCGAGATTTCTCGGTAAAATTACCAATTCCATAAATGGTAATTTTACCAAGAAATAACTGGGATAAAATAGAACCCTGAATTCTTGGTAATTTTACCCTTTTCTTAGTATATACACCGAGATTTTTTTTTCAGTGAGGCTAGGGTGCTCGACCTTAGCAAGTTGCGGGAGGCCTGAGAGTCTCTTTGGAACCCTCCAGGAAATGGGAGGCAGTGGGAGAGGAGATCTGGCAACACCGCACTTGCTGGCTCGCTGCTCTCGTTTTGCGTTTCTCCAAGAAACTGGCCGTAAGACGCAAGGGAGGAAAACACAGGAGGGCTGCAGCTGGGTGCAGTGGAATGCAGTTTCTCTTTTCCCCGTTGCCTTGCATTTCCGAGGCACTCATCGGTCTCCCGGATTGGAGGACTGTGAGCGTGGGTGGTGATTGGGACCAATCAGAAGTGATTTGACAGGAGTCACTTGGGCTTGGTCAACAATCCCACCCTGATGCCTAGGTGGGTTCAAGGGGGCTCTCACTCGAAAAACTTATCGCGGATTCGTAGCGTCGAGAAATGTAAGTCCCTAATTAAGTTGGCCCTTTGGGCCAACTTCTCTCGTTTAGCTCCTTAGCATACAAAATGTTAGGTCGGGTACGGTAGTTAAGTTTGCGGTTTAGTTTAGTGCTTTGTTATTCGCTCATATTGCTATTTTCTTGTTCGGTTGTCATTATTATTTAGTATATATATTTATCTTTTTACACTGAAAAAAAATTCTCGGCGTTTTTACCAAGGTCCGTTGGTACCTTTACCATCTCACTTTTTTTACCAAGACAGACTGGTAGGCTTACCGAAAAACCGGTATTTTTACTGTTTTTTTCAGGTAAAAATACCACTTTTATTGGTAATCAATTCCCGGTAACTTTGCCATTTTATCTCGGTAATTCTACCACAGTCGATAAAAAATATTGGCATTTTTACCAAGGTCCAATGAAATTACCGAGAGAGTCAATAATTTTACCGAGATTTCTCGGTAAAATTACCAATTCCATAAATGGTAATTTTACCAAGGAAAAACTGGGATCAAATAGAACCCTGAATTCTTGGTTATTTTACCCTTCTCTTAGTAAATACACCGAGATTTTTTTTTCAGTGTATTTATTCCTCTTGCCTTTTATCATTGTTTCGTGTGAATGCGCTAGCCGGCCGCAGCACATGACGAGAAAAGTGTGGAAAGCCGGCTGGCGGGCGCGTGAGAATGTGGAAGCTTGGGAGATTCTGCACCCCTTATTCGGGTTCCTTGCAGGTTTCAACTCTTCAACTTCATACATAGAATAGTAGTGCATCAAAGTTTGCATAGATGTCTTTAAACAAGATTACGTAGCATGGTGTCAACGATTACGGTGTCAACAAACAGTTTTTCCAAGTTTTTGTTGACTCCATGATCATCCAAAAATAAAAAAATTCCGACTCTTATGAAAGATGATCACGGTGTCAACGATCACGACGTCAACAAAACTTAAAACTTCCCCTTATAACATCTTTCAACTTTCAAGTCTTGTTTTTCTTGTGTTCTAATCTAATCGAACCAACCATACGTGACCCAGACCTCTCCTGTGCACTTAACTTTTATTTAATTTTACGCATAAGGAAGATAATTTTTTGTTTGTTGACACCGTGATCGTTGACACCATGATTTTCCACCAAGATTTTCTCTCTTTTTTTTCGTGTCAGAAGTCAGGGCAAAGTTAAAAAGTTTCAGCGCCAGTGATCGGGGAGTTTCTCCAAAATTCAAGGAAAATTAGGAAAAAGTCAGGGAATTTAGAACTTAAATTAAATTTTGCACTTTCTTTTGGGTACAAACTTTCCCCAGCCGCCAGGAGATGTCGCACTTTGATTCGTATTAGATAGATCTTAGGGGAAACGCGTGATACAAATACAACTATTCGATGGTGAAAGTGCAGGAGTGTGAATCTCGGAAAACACGATTTTCCAGGAGAGTGAAAAAACTGTCTACGTTCCTCCGTAGAAAGGTAATAATTCGTGAGGATGTACAGCTGATACATGCTGTTGGCGGGGAACTCTGAGGAGCGCGCGTTGTGCGTAAGGCGCGCCGCGCTGGCTCAAAGAAGAGGCCAGAATGAGATAAGCGTTTCTTTACTGAAGCCCGATATGTGCGAAAAATTATGTACGGTTTTAGGTGACTTCCCGGTTTTTTCGATTATATTCTCTTGCCGGCAGATAGACGACATCTTCAACAACACGTTTATGCAGCTAACTCAAAACTGTCAAAATTGAGACAAGCACTTCTGCACTTTCACCATCGTATTGCGACTGCCAAGTAGGTAGGTAAAATTGCATACCTACAAAAGGAAGGAGGACAAGAGTTCTTCTCGGTCGACTCGGAGACTTTAACGCAGAAGTAGAAAAGTTAGATGGGGCGAAACGCGTGATACATAACTATTTCGAGTTCGAAGAAGATGAAATTGCATAGCCTTATTCCACAAAATGATGTAGAATCTCTTTTCGACTGGCTCAGAGACTTAAACGCAGGAGTAAAAAAGTTAGATGAAGCGAAACGCGTGATAAAACTAATGCGACTTCTAAGGGGGTAAAATTGCATTCCTACAAAACGAAGGATAACAAAATATCTTCTTGGCCGGCTCAGAGACTTTAACGCAGGAGTAGAAAAGTTAGATGGGGCGAAACGCATGATACAACTATTTTGACTCCCTAAAAGATATGAACTTGCAGCGCCACGTCAGAAAAAAAACATTGTGTTCCATATCATCCCAACTGTTCGGTCCGTCTAACCCAACTCTCAGTTCGTGTAACCGGACGCTCGTTTACACTGAAAAAAAAAACACATTGGATCTAGAGTCCAGACTCTCGAAAACATTTACAAGAAAAAATACTCTTGATTCAATCAGATTTTTGCTTAAATCAAAAGGGAATCTACTCATATTAAGAGGCTTGGTTCTTGACTTAAGCAAAAATCCGATTGAATCAACAGTATGTTTTTAAGAGTCTGGACTCAAGATCCAATGTGTTTCTTTTTCCAGTGTACGTGAATCAAAAACTCGGTTTTTTTCTGAAGTTTGAACGCGAAACGCACTACTTTTTACGAAAACTTAAAACAAGGATGTGGATATTTTGCTAAAATTAGTGCGAACGATCGTTTTCACGAAATTAGCTCGGAAGCATTGAATTCTTGAGAAAATTACCGTGTAAACGTTGAATTTATCGAAACACAATTTC